TTTTCTCGAATCAATTGCATGTATGATTTGTGCTTTATTGAAAGCAGATTTCAATTCAATAAAAAATTTCTATTTCTAAAAAAACTTCAGATAACGCCTTCGAACTTCATGCAAGTTCTACAAAACTCGGGAAAGTCTTACAAGTTTCAGGAAAATCCTGTGAACTGCTGTGATGACCTACGACGGTCAGGAAATCTCTCCGAACCTTCAGCGAAGTTCTACAAATTTCAGAGAAGTCTTATGAACTTCAGGGAAGTCCTTTAATCTTTGTGGAATAACTACGAATTTTACAGAATTTTCTACAGATTTAATGTAACTTCCACGGCATTTAGGCATTGCTTAAAATTTAAGGATAATCCTATGACACTATGGATTTTTTTCGAACTTCAGAGAAGTCTTCAATACTCTTGCGAAGTCCTCTGAACCTCCAAGCTCAAAAATGTTCCAAGAACTTCCGAGAAGTTGATTGAACTACAGGTAGTCCTACGAAATTCATGGGAGCTCTCCAAACTTCAGGGAATTTCCAAGAAATTAAGGAAAGACCCACAAACTTTTGGAAAACCTTTCGATATTTAAAGCCTTATGAACTTCAAAGAAGCTTTTCTAATTTTAGGGTCCTCATATATTCAGTTAAGTCCGTCAAACTTCAGGAAAGTCCTCAGATCTTCGAGAAAGTTCTTCGAACTTGAAGGAAGTCTTACGAACTTCCGAGAATTTCTACGAACTTCGTGGTACTTCTACGATATTTAAGAAATTCCTATGAATTTAAAAAAAAAACTCCGAACTTCAGGGAAGTTCTAAGATCTTAAAAAAAGTTCTTCGAACTTCGGGGAAGTCTAATGAAATTCAGGCAATATAAACTTCAATGAACCCTTCAGGAAAGACCTTAACGCTTCAGGGAAGTTCTACGAACTTAAGGGAGTTTCTATGAGCTTCAGCTTCTTTTAATAATAAGAGTTATTAAACCACCGTTGTTTATGAAATCTTTTTGAAATCATGTTGTAATCAAAATACCGCTAAATAAGATCCTTAATCGTTGACAATTTGCGGAAAATTTAAACAAACTGGAAATCCGTAAAATTGTTAGAAGCAAAGTTTTGTTTAAAGAGTCCTCATTCATATCACACTTCGCAATTTCACCTTGAGATAAACTAAAAATCTCAATAATAAAGTTAAAGTTTCAAAAACAGAAATCGCAAGATTTAGGGGCTTATAGATTTCTAAATTTTAGACATTAGATAGGGCTCCGCGCTAGTCCGTCGTATCTCAGCTTTTCTTCGTCATACACCCCTAAAATCGCTCATTTTACGGGTTATCGCAAATGTTTTAGTGTCAATCGTAATTAATCTTGTACGTAAAGATGTTTTTGCAAAAACATGAGTGAAAACGCTTTGCTATTATAGTTTTAGCACGGAAATAGGCGCAATGATACGACGAAGTAGCGCGGCTCCCTACTAGCAAACAGCAAACAATTAGATAAAGATCTCACGGGCATTTACAAGAACCTTAATACCTATTTTGGTTTGTGAAATTCCGCATTGCGCGAAAAATGATGGTACAAGGATTCACTTTATTTTTTTTTATTAAAAATTGTTTTTTAAATACATGGTTTTTAAATCCGGGAAATTTTTAAATCATTGGACAGGAAAAAACCAGGAATTTCAAAATGGAAATTCACTTACCACCCTGTGAAAATTGCTGGGAATGTCTTTACATTGATGCAAAGAGAAAGTCGACGAAGAGAATCAGTCAATGTTACTTAGGACCTAATGCAATGTTCAGCTTGAATTGAACCGAAATCTAAAACTTCATAAATTTTGGTGCACCAAATTGGCAAAAAATCACCATCTTAGCCCCACTCGGCTATACTTTAGTATGGGGCGAGCTGGGCGTATCTTTTGTAATAAATGACTCCTCTCGATGATTTCTAGGAATTCAAGGTACGCTCACGCAAATGACCGTATGCGTGATAATGTTTGCATCATTGAGCAATGTCAAAATTAAAAAACAAAATCTCAAAAATTTCGTTTTCGAGTTTTTTTTTTATTTATTCAAAGGGGGAATCTCAGAGTCTTAAACTATGTTAATCATCGATCGAGTTTCCACTTGCTGCAATTACGGCCTCCACACGCTTCCGGAATGCACGGCAGGTTCTAATAATGTAATCTGGATCCATTTCTCTCCAGGTACGGGTCAATGTTTGTCTGAGGCTTGCTGTACTTGGGTGGCGTTTGAACAGGCCTTGGCCTTCATGACGGGCCATATTGAGTAATCCAGCGGATTAAGATTGGGGCTGGATGGCGCCCACATATCCTTCACCCAGAACGGAAGGTATTCCTGTAACCACTTCTAAGTGCGGTTCGAGGTGTGGCTCGGAGCCACATCTTGTTGAAATACAACATTTGGCTTCGGACCGCACTGTTCTTTGATCCACGGAAGAACATACTTACTTAAAATCCCGATGTAGAACTCCGTGTTGACCTTGTCGCCTTCTGGAATGAACACCGGGTCAATTTTTTTATACCAAACACAATAACGCTAGCAGGATGCTTGGTCAGATACACGTTCTTGTGCTCGTCGGCCACATCTTTTACCGGAAGAGAGCTAATATACCGGTCGGTTCTGGAATTTGATACGGGATCGACGGTAAACATGCTCCCGTCGGTGAACAGGATTACCGGATTTTTTCGCTTAAGGAAGTTCAAGATTTTCTTGCATCGTTCGACTCGTAGCTCCCGGATGCGGTTGGTAATCATGTGAGTTTTTTTTCCGTGCCCTCGACTTCGCCCCGCAATCTTCCTTTACGATCTTCCGTGCCGTAAAGTCACTGATCCCGTGTTCCTTTGCCATTTTCCTTATTGAACGCACTGGATTCACCCGAATCTTCCTTTTGATAGCAGTGATAACCCTGGGAACCCGAGCTGACCTCGGACGACCTGTGGCCACCTTCGCGGATAGTTGTCCTTTCTTTTCTCGGTCTAAAACCCTTTTGACGGTCCACCGGGACACTCCCACGGCGATTGAAATGTCTTTTTGCGACATTTGCGCGTGGGACAAATCACGAATACGCTGCCACTTCTTCATGGTGCAACTGTCAAACTAAGTAAATCTTTTTCTTTTATTCACAGCCTACTACGGTATAAGCTATAGGTTACGAGCATGCAAAGAAAACCAAGGCATTGTATGCACAGGTGAAATGGGAACCTTATTTGTACGATGGTGCAAACATTATCACGCATACGGTAACATAATCTTCGGGTAGAGGAAGTCGTTCCCTGCCCGATGGTGATGTTGATTTATGTTGGCGAGCCTTGATTTTCTAGAAATCATCGAAAGAAGTCATGGTTTACAAAAGCTGTTACGCCCTGATTCAAACTCTATCTAGAGTTATGTGTCAAAAAGCGATGTGATTATTTTGCTTTAAATCTCGTTTTAAAAATCGAGGTGAAAGTCTTTTAAAAATCGAGGTGATCGAAAAATATATCATTACGCTCAAAAAACGAAGCTCTTGCAGATGATGTATAATAATCGATTTTTATTTTCAAAATTTAAGAACCCAATTGGGTTCTAAGGAGTATTGAGATAAATTCGTAATCGGCATTAAAAATGAAACCGAAATCCAAAATTTAATCAATTTTGTGTCCTGAAACTATTTTAAATAAGTGCGGTATTTTAATTAAGTCGGTGGGACTTTGTATGGGAGCGAGCTGTCAATTAATGCCAATGGTGCCAAAAATTAAAATTTCTAATCTTGAGTTCAAAATCGAAATAAATGTCTATGGGATCGATAAAAATATCGTTGTGCTCAGAAAACGAAGCTCTTTTAGATGACGTATAAAAACCGGATTGTTTTTCGAAATCAGAGCTGCTTTGGGTGCTTTGGGAGCTTTGTGACCTTAACAAATCATCAGCACTTTCGCATAATTCGTTGAATATCCCTAAGGTATCAGGGCAACCATGTTGAGTGCTACCAATCTACGGAATTGACCTCAAAATCCAATCTGATGATCCATCACCGCGGCACAATGTCAATCAAGTCACACGTTCAGCGGGGCCACGAATCGTAGCGTGCCAAGCGTTTTTCCCCACTATACAACAAAGTGTGTCACTTCTCTGCGCCTACCGAGATAAAGTTAGTTCCCAAACAATCGTCCTAAGCTCTCGGAGTCGTCGGCTTCCGTCTGATAATGATGCACTCTACGACGTGCGTTTGCAGTTGCAGAAAGGCAATCACTCTTTTCTAAATAAAAACAAGGAATCCGTAGTCAGAAGCTGCGATAATGGCTGTGTAATTATTATGCAACTACCTAGAAGAAGACTTAGTCAACAAATTGCGGCTCTTCGCAATGATCGTTCTCGCAGAGATAGTGATCTATCGCCACAAAGTGCAGCATCTGCGGGGAGTCAACAGGTCAACAGATGTCGAACGGTTCGCTTAGCAGCGCTCGAATGACAGCCAACTCGACTCAATTACCATCAATTCTGCATAAATTAATAAAATACCGCTTGATTCAGTTGCACTAATTCAATCCAATCTGTCACCAAGTGCGATCTGTTTCCCTTGTCGCCATCAATCAGAATCAATCAACTGCTACCTTGCGCAGTTGCAGAGTGTTCTGTGGAAACAGCTGTCTAGCTAGCTGCTGAAGCGCCAACCACCCCCGGTTTTATTTGCCGTTGATAAGACCGCGCCGGTTAAACAGGTTTTTCACTGCAATCCGCGCTCGCATGCGCGATATCGGTTCGGTCGTCGTCGTCGTCGTCATTCGTTTGACGGTAGACACGGTGGCGTGACTCACTATTGGCTCTCCCTCGACGCTCTTCATCGTTTATTCCGTTACTCTCATTCCAGTTGGTTGCAAAATTTTCCGCTAGATAGCGCGCATCGCACTGTCAGCGAAGCACTGAACCACTTTTGATCGACTCAAATGCGCGCGCAGCGTGCGCCTCTTCTGTTCGTCGATACTAATCGAATTCAAATTTAACCTCGTTATTTTCAGATGCCACGTAGCTTCACGGACCTGCTGTGGGATTACGGCGTGTTTGTGGTGTTCATCATCTTCTCCACGCTGGTTCCGCTGTGGGGACGCTTCTTCGGCAAGAAGGAGAAAACCAAAGCGGACTATGTCTTCGGAATGGGAACGATCTCGATGGGCGCCATGATGCTGTCGATCGCCCGGGGAACCCTCGGCGTGCGGTCGTTCCTCGGCTATCCGAGCGAGCTGTTCTACCGCGGATCGGCCATGTGGGAAACCCTGTACGGAATGGTGACCGCCTATCCGATCGTATGCTTCGTGTTCATCCCGGTGTACTTCAATCTGGGCGTGACTTCCGTTTACCAGTATCTGGATTTGAGGTTAGGTTCTAAAATCTTCGAATGAATGACAAATTCCTATAGCTTCCGATTTTCGTTTGAACACAGATTCAACAGTCGGCTGGTACGATGTCTAGCATCCGGAACGTACGTGATCCGTTCGCTGCTGAATCTAGGCGTAACGGTCTATACTCCAACGGTGGCCCTGAATACGGTCATTGGCATCCCCTACTGGGCATCATTGCTCGGAATCTCCGCCATCAGTATAATCTTCAATCTGCTGGGAGGACTGAAGGCAGCTATCATGGCTGACGTTATCCAGGGAGTCACCATGATCTTGATCTCGATCGCCATCATCATCCAGTCCATGATCAGTGTCGGAGGGTTCGAAAAAATCTTCACGATCCCTGCTGAGGATGGTAAGTTATTCCCGTGAAACGTATTACAGAACAGTAACTGATCAATCCTTTCTTTCCAACAGGCCGTCTCAAATTTTTCGACTTTACTGGAGACTTTACGATCCGGGTGGACACTACTTCAGCCTGGCTGGGCCAGCTTTTCATGTCGCTGAGCATCTTTGGATGCCAGCAGAACTTTGTCCAGCGCTATCTGAGCATGAGCACCTTCAAGGAAGTCCGTCGCACATTGATGAGCAACATACCGGTTGTGATTTCGCTGTTCTCGTTGGCCTGGATCGTTGGAATGGGAGTCTACTCAGTGTATGCAGATTGTGACCCGATGGCCGGGGGCTACACCACTAAAATGGATGAAATTCTGCCGTTCTTCGTGCAAGACAAGTTCTCATATTTGCCGGGAGTGCTGGGTCTGTTCATGGCATCGCTGTTCAACGGAGCGTTGAGCTTGAACGTTTCGAATCTCAACTCGCTGGCCACCGTAACCTGGGAGGACTTCCTCTCTCCGCTGCCTCGGTTCAAGGGAATCAGCGACAGGCAACAGCTGACCATCATCAAGTTCATCGGCTCGATTTACGGAGTTATGGTTATGGGCGTCGGATTCGCCGTTGGTCTGCTGTCCGGAGTAATCGAAAGCAGCATGCTGATGACTTCGGCTACGTCGGGACCACTGCTGGGTGTCTTTCTGCTGGCAATGTTGGTACCGATGGCCAACTGGAAGGGCGCTGCCACCGGTATGATCGTGTCGCACGTTATCACCCTGTGGATTACGTTCGGAAGCCTGACGGTCAACAAGGAGACGGTGCTGCTGTCGACTTCCGTTGAGGTGAGTTCTTTTTGCGAGCGTAGAAGGGGCGGGATGCTAGTGATTATTGGTTGAAACTTGTAGGAGGTTGACCGAGGATCCGAGAACCATTTGACTGAGGTTAAGGGAATCATTAGGGGAGATTCAGAGTTAGTCATAAGGAAGTCTTTCATGAAAGCTGCTTTAAACAGTACCACAGTCGAAATTCGCTGGTTGGGTTCCTAATTATTGGTCTGCTTTGTAGTTGTGCCCCCGCTAGTCATAATGGTGGTCATGACCCAATTAAAATCGAACTGGATGTCAAACTCTCATGTCAAGTTTGATCTGACATTCAATCATGAATTCTCGATTACTTTTTCGAACGGACGTACCAGCTTTTGTAAACAATGCATTTGATCGTCGATTTGGCGTAACTGGTAGCTCGTCCACGCATACCAACACCACTATGAGGTAGGGGAAAATTTCCCCTATCTAATAGTAGTGTTAGCATGCATGGGCGAGCTACCATGCTGCATTGTTTACAAAAGTTGGTACGTCCCCCCTTCGAAAAAGTAATCGAGAATTCTTCCAAGGGATGAGCAAACGCAAATTAAATTCGTTAGTGGGGTAGAGGTGGTGGCCCAAGTCAAACTAGCGAATTTCGACTCTATCTACGTGTCCTACTATCCAAACATTCAAACCCCAACTCCAAACACTCAAACCCCCACTAACCGGGTCCCCCTTCTTTTCCACCCACAGGGTTGCACCAACGACACCTTCTCGTCCGGCATCGTGAAACCGGCTAAATCGTGGCTCCTCTCCAACACCCCCCTGGAGGTCGAATCGGACTTCTCCTACCTGACCGGTCCCCTAGAGGTTCCGGTACCTGCCGTTCCGCAATTCCCGGAAACCCTCTACTCCATCTCGTACATGTACTACAGCTTGATCGGTACCTTTCTGACGGTCATCGTTGGAACCCTGGTCAGCTACCTGACACGGCATCGGGACGATGCCTACGATCACAAGCTCCTCCATCCGGCCGTGTATAGGCTGAGCCAGTTACTCCCCGGAAAGGCACGCCGCTACGTCAATAATCCCGACATCCGTCCGAAAACGATGGCAACGCCGTCCAAGAAACTTCCTCAGGACAATCCAGCGTTCGAGCCGAGCCCGGAGTCGATCCGCGAGAAGAAGTCTCCCCTCGAGCTGACCGTTTGCATAGTCGTGAACGGCGAAGCTACGTCCAGTGATCCCAGTGCTAACGAATCCTACCGACAGCTGGACGATGCCGGCGAACTGAGGGATGTCCGAACGTGAGCACCGGCAAGCCGGTGGTGAATAGAAGTTAAGTTTTGTGCCGCAGATCATTATTTAAATCGCTTGTTTGTTAGACTAAGAGAACCGTAGAACACAAAAGACTGTGATAAGACGTAATCGCCTTTAAGGATATTGAAATAATTACAACCCAAGGTAGTCTAGTGGAGTAGAAGAGTTTCCGTCAGTAGCCAAGTAGGGGAAACGACGTTTTCATACAGTTATGAAAAAGTATGTATGAATAGGAATATCTTTTAGAATAAACCATGTTTTCCAACTCTTAACGTACATTATTGTGTGGGTTTGAGTGCTTAAAAATATCACATTCCAGCTCGAGACTTGTTCGACAGGTAGACATGCAGCTCAACACTTGCTGTCTATCTTTATAACTTCATCCTTTCAATTTATTATCATATCTAGCCTGGTTTCCCGAACAAAAATACTCGCTCCATGATGTTCAAGCGTTGGCGGAATTCAAGTTTTTGTTCGGGTTGACTCGGATAAAAAGTTCTCTTCTCCAACACAGTGGAAATCCCACACTTCACGGGGCTTCATTAATGCCGAAAGATGTCAGAACTCTTCGTTCGGCTTGGTAGAATTTCGACTTTCCCGCAAACGAGACGATGATGGGAAAGGAAATTCATATACAATTTCATTCATCAGCAATCTTCGTTGCTGCTACCGTTGTGCGGCCGCGTTGCGGTAAGGCAGTTTTACTCTTATCTAGTGGAAAACATCTCTTCCCTTTTCTCTCATGGATGCTTTTCACGCTTTTATTCTCTAGAATGCACGAGAAAAGTACGAGCCTATTATCTCTTCCAAAGCGTGACTTTATCGTTCTTCAATGCATAGTAGGAAAATGTAAGTGTGTAACCATTCTGTGAAAGTGCAATTTTGATGTTTGGTGCAATAGTATCCCACTATTTGGGAGACGAATAATATAAAAAGAGATTTTCGGCTTTTAAGTGGATCGATCCAACACCGATGGTGCACCTCGTGCGTCATACTTGAATCCTCATGATGCTAATGCCAAACTGGATCACCTGCAATGTTTTACGTTTGCTTCACTACATTGAGCATCTTTGGTGGCATGGTTCTGAATCCGTTTGTCACTTGATACTTCCAACAATGTTGCCACTCTCACTGCTCAGAATTAAATGCGGTTATTTACAGACTTGTCATTTATTTCATTTAATTTCGATTTCAAATTTAGATGGACTTTTCGAATTATTTCTTACTTATCCGTTACTGGGCTCCACATCCAACAACAGTCTATGCTCAGAAATTCAACGCCACAGAAGACCTAAGTGGGTTGCATTTAGTAATACCAACCGGTGGAAACTAACGATTTTAAATTGGCTCACTACTTGACTAGCCTTATTGGTCCCAAGCAAATCGATTAACGTACCCCATTCTAGTCAAAATTCTAGTACAACACAATGTTTGTTTTTAATCGCTATGAAAGTTTGACAGATAACATGGGGCAGGGCTGGTAGCGATCAATGCTGTCAAAAATAGTGATTTTAGTGACCATGTTGAAGAAGATAAGTGACCAAATAGTGACTTATAGTTGTGAAAAAGTGACCTAAGGGAAGAAAATTAGTCGTTCTGATGGCATACCAAATAAATGTTTGATGTTTTAGACTTATTCAATTAAAATCGCATAAACACTTAAATATGTACGATAGGAACCTTCAAAGCGAAAGATTTAATAGAAAGTTCATGACTAAACCTGAAAAACCGGAAATTCTCAGGGAATTTTATTTTTCCTGAAAATACCTGGAAGTCCCAGGAAATTTTAAAATTTTCTTACTAAGGAAGAAAATAATGCATTTTAAAATAAAAACACTTAATATTCCTAGTTATTTTCATTCCCATATTAAACTTTATAGCCCCTTTATGGTTCTAGAATATGTATATTTCCAACATTTTTTATAAATACTGAACAGAGTCGAATTCCTGACACAGTTTTAAGGCTCATAGAATTTTATTATACTTTCTAAAGACCTCATTCCACGGGAGTTCTGGGAAAAAAATCTATGAGAAAAATATCAAGTACAATCCGCTTTCATGGTAGTTCTAAACAATTTTAGATTTCATGTGAAGCCTGAGATGTTTTTGAATAGAATTTCAAGCAAACCCGGAATTGAATTTAAAGTAAATTTTAATGTAATTTCATAGGGATTTCTCCTACTCTGAACTTCAGAGGAAACTTCTAAGGGCTTCTTCTTCTTCTTCGCATTTCAAGCTTATTGCATATCGCATATTAGCTTATTGCGTGCTCTCAACTTAGTGTTGTAGGTGCACTTCCACAGTTATTAATTGAGAGCTTTCGATGCCTGTACCATTTTTGCATTTGTATAATTGTGTGGCAAGTCCAATCATACTTCTATGCTCAGGGAAGTCGAGAAATTTTCCAACCCGAAAAATTCCTAGACCTGACCGGAAATTGAACCCAGCCACCTCCAGCATGGTCTTGCTTTGTAGCTGCGCCTTTACCGACTGAGCTAAGGGAGGCCTCGAAAAACTTCCAAGGGCATTCAGAGGATAATTACATGAAGTTTGTGAAAGACAACGAAATCCTCGTATTTTTCCTTGGTAAATAATTAGGTGGTGAAGGGGATTCTAAAAGGAGGATTACAATTAAATCTGAGAATAACTTCAGAAAATCTTCAAAGAAATTCGGAAAATAATTCCAGGAGAGATTGCCAAACATATTAAGGGGAGAAATCTAAGGAATATGTGAGGAAAAATGAAAATGAATTATTAGGAGACTTTCAATGTGAGTATAATTGCAAGGGAAGGAGTGGGCATAAAATGGAAATCTAAAATGAATTCAATGAAAAATCTGAGAATCTTTCCATAAGATTTCTTACTGAGGAGAATTTCAAGGTAATCCGTAGGCAAATAAAAAAAATGAATTCGGAGGATAGTTTCAACGAAATTTTGAGGAATATTTCAATGGAATTGCGAGAAGTATTCTAACTATATTATTGAGATATTTGTTTAGAGAATTTAGAGAAGTGTTCCAAGTGAATTTCTAAAATAATTCCATGAGAGTTTCGGAAGAATACGAGCGTAAGATAAGGAGAACTTCAAGCGAATTTACATGGGATATCTCCGTATGTATGTAATGGACTATTCTGAGGTCTTCAGAACAAAAGTTCCCAAAATATTCCTGAAGTGAATGAGACTGCTTTGAAGTTCTTTTGTAGTTTGAGAATCTAGCCTGATGCTCGCAATACTTCTCATCAATGTTTTCAACTTCCCTAAACTTTTTTCACAAATTTCCTAACGATCATGAATCTTCTCTAAAGTTTTAACAATTCACTAAATTTATCGAAACTTATTTAAATTTATGTAATTTCGCTGCTCTGAGGATATCTGTTCTTTCTTGAAATTTTGTTTATGTGCTTTATTAGTGAGATCAATATCTTTCTTGTAGTTCTTGAAACTTCTCTTAAGTGTTTGAAGTTTTTATGAAGCTTGTTGTACTACAATTCTGAATTTTACTGGCGATGTAAACATCCATGCATGCAAACATTCATACATGTAAACTTCCTTTTCACGTAAACTAGCAGCTTGCAAGAAATGTTGCAACCAAAGGTGGACAGTTGCATACAATATATGGAATATTGAATGGTATGTCTCATAAATGCATACGATCTATAATCTAAACTTGTATGATATATGACGCTCCATTTATGTGCATCATAGTAACGGAAATTTACGCTACTTTTTTTTAGCTGTGTACCTAAAAATGTTTAAGCTTCCGTGAACTTCTGGACTTAGGTGAAAACCTCAATAATTTTCTTAACATCTCTAAAGTTCTCTGAAAATCTGGGAACTTCTTGAAGTTTACCGCTAATTTAGTGAAACTAATGGAACTGAACACCCCTGAAATTCGCCTTGTTTTTTGAGCTTTACTAAACTTATTTGAAATGCTTCCGAAATGTCCAAATAAGTTCCTGAAGTTCTCGGATCTTCAGTTAAGTTCCATAGACTTTTATTAAGTTCTCGAAATGTTTCTGACGGTCTCTGTACTTCTGTGAAGTTTTCGAAGTTATTCTGAAATTTCAGGAACTTATTTAAGCTTCCGCAACCAAATAACTAATATAGGGGAAATGTATGTAATGTCGGCCTATGAGTCCCTAATTTGAGCCCATACATAAATTCAGCAAACGACTAAATTTTTAATAGCAACCAAAAATATCCATTAGGACCGTCCCAATGACGCGTTCATCTGGATACAATTGATAAATAGCAGATTTTTAGCGATGGGCCCAATCTTAGATCCATAGGCCAACATTAGAGCCATTTCCCCTAGTTCTACAATTTTCACTGCAGTTCTCAATATTTGTGTGAAGTTCAAATTATCAAAACTAATTCATAACTTTTTCCACAGTCTAGAGTTTCCTGATGTTATTAAAGCTGGCCAAAATATTTCTCAATTTCCTTAAAGTTCTCTATACTGCCCTGAATATCTTTGTAGTTTTTTTTTTAAAAGAACCCACCATTTTACTGGAATTGATTGAACTACCTTTAAGTTCTACCATTTTCCTTAAGTTTATAAACGCTCACGGAACTTTGCCTTAAATCACTAATTTTCCCTGGAAAGGCCTGCCGTGAAGTTTTCTATGCTTACCTTATTTTATCTAAATTGATCAAATGTTCCGGTAAATTTTCTGATATTTATTTATAATTCCCTGAATCATCTAAAGTTTTCAGATCAATCATAGAATTCTTGGAACATCCCATAATTCCAAGGAACTCCTTTTAAATTATCTTAGAAATCTGAGAGATTTTTTTTATGTTATCCAATCGTCCTCGAAATACTCGGAACTTCACTGAATGTAACAATCTAAAAACATCTATATTTATTGGAAGTTCTCTGGAATTTCTTGAAAATATCGGTGCTTGCTAAAAGCTACCTTTTTTTTTAATTAATGGAACTTCGTTGATGTTCTCTAATCAACTTAGCTCAATTTTCGAAATGTTTTAGATCTTGAAATTTGCATGATATAACACCCTTGAGAGTAGTCACATTTTCCGGATGTTCGTATAATTTTTATTGCGTTCCAGAAATTTTCTCTGAGCAAACTGAAGTTTCCGGAAATTCCCAGAAATTTTCTTGAAACTTCTTTAATTGCCCTTTAATTCTATGATCTGCTTCCCTAAAGCTCTAAATTCTAATGAAGATCTCGGTTCTGCTTTAAAATAAATGGAATTCTCGTGAACACCTTTAAACTTCCCTGGAATTCTCTAGATTTTTGTGAAGTTCCTGAAAT